CAGGGGCAGGGGAGCGTTCTCGGGGTCTCTTTAATTTTCTTTTTTTAGTGTGTGTGTGTGTGTGTGTGTGTGTGTGTGTGTATACACACACATGCTTATGTGAGGCTTCCCTGGTGGCCCAGAGGGTGAAGAATCTACCTGCAATGTGGGAGTCACAGGTTCAATCCCTGGTTCGATCCCCAGGAAGATGCCCTGGAGAAGAGAATGGCTATGCATTCCAGTATTCTTGCCTGGAGAATTCCATGGACAAAGGAACCTGGTGGGCTATACAGTCCATGGGGTCACAAAAAGTCAGACAGAACTGAGCAACTAACACTTTCATTCCTCATATGTACATGTGTGTGCATATATATACATATACATATCCCTCCAGGGCTCCTGCATCTTGGCGGCAACCATGTGGAGGCGGCGCGGTGCAGATCTCCCTGTGGACTAGATGCCCCAGCCTGGTCTTCCTGGCTCACCTCTGTCAGCATGCTACAGCAGGGAAGGACTCCACCCTCATGATCTAACCACCTCCCCAAGTCCCCACCTCCCAAGACCATCACCTTGGGGTTAGGGTTCCAATGCATGAAGTGGGGAGACACACATTCAGCCCATAGGGTCAGGCTCCACGGCAGGGCCAGCACCCAGGTGAGGCAGGAGGGATGCCCAGGACAAACACACCCCCAAAGGAGACCCTTGCTCCTGGGGGCTGCTCCTGACCAGGAGGTCCCTAAACAGTCTGGCCTCCAGGGGTCTCTCTTGCCTCATGCGGGTCCTAGCTCTGCTATGCGGGCTCCCACTGGCATCTCAGGGTTCAGAGAGAAAAGCAGTAGACACAATGGCAAGGGAGGGCTGGGGGGGGGTCTGAACTGCACCGCTGAACCTTAAGTTCACTTGGGGAACTGAGAGCAGGAAGCAATGGCCCGCTGGTGCTTTGGGAGGGCAGTGAAAAGGGGGCTGGGGGGGTGGGGGGCTGGCACAGGGGCAGGGCAGCTGCCCACCTTCCCAGCAGGCCAGGCTGGGCTGAGGTAGCAGCACCGGGACCAACAGCAGGGTCATCCTGTAGGAGGCAGGATGGGAGTAGCAGGTAAGGACCTGGGTTCTTCTGTTTACTAATCATCAGCATGTTGTGTTGTTCAGTCGCTAAGTCGTGTCCAACTCTTTGTTACCCCATGGACTGCAGCATGCCAGGCTTCCCTGTCCCTCATTATCTCCTAGGGTTGCTCAAATTCATGTCCACTGAGTCAGTGATGCTATCTAACCATCTCATCCTCTCCTTGGCAGCCTCCTTCTCCTTTTGCCTTCAATCTTTCCCGAATCAGAGTCTTTTCCAGCGAGTCGCCTCTTTGCAACAGGGGCACAAAGTATTGGAGCTTCAGCTTTAGTCCTTCCAATGCATATTCAGGGTTGATGTTCTTTATGACTGACTGGTTTAACCTGCTTGCTATCCAAGGGACTCTCAAGAGTCTTCTCCAGCACAACTGGAAAGCAATAAATTCTTTGGATCTAACTATAATCCCTGGCAAGTGATTTAACCTCTCCGGGTCTCAGTTTCTTCATCTCGAAAATAGGTATCAGCAGAGCAGCCCTGTCTCCCAGGGTGCGGAGGAGATTCAAGACAAGCATCTATGTTTAGAGTTTAAAACACAGTCTGGCCCCCAGGAAGCTTTCACATTCTCAGTGAGGCCAGAGGACTTAAGAAACGGGCCACAGAGATAAGCAGCGTTGGAGCCGCACAGATAGAATCACCTGGGGGACTCCTTCCAACCTCCCCAACCTAGGCCAGGGTCCCCTGCCCGATTAAACCCCAGTCACTGGGGAGCAGTCTGGGCATCAGTATTTTTCCGGAAGTCTCCAGGAGTTTCCAACGCGCAGCTGAGTCTGGCAACCATGCTCATCTAGAACTTCGGGTGCCTGAGGCCTGAGCGGACAGAGGTCACCTTGAAAAGACACAGACAGGCAACCATTTTGCAGCTGGATGTGAAGCCAGATGGGGTGGGGGGCGGGAGGCCGGGGGGCCTCGGGGCCGAGCCCGGGGGCGGCTGCGGCGCGCTCTCGGGGGTCGCGGGGCCCGGTGGGCAGGGCGCCCGCAGTCCTGGCTGGTCGGGAGCCAGGGGCCCGGCCCCGCGAGCCAGGCGGGTAGGAGGCCAGAGCGGCTCGGAGCGCGGCTCGGGCGCCAGGGGGAGCTCGCGGCCCCGCCGCGCCCCTGTCCCCGCAGCTGGTTCAGACTGGTTCGGGCAGGGTGCGGCCCGGCGGGCTGCATTCCAGGCCGCGGGCGCGCCGCCGGCTCCGGGGTCGCCCCGAGCGCCTCCGGGGGGCCGGGCAGACTTGTTTGTGTTTGTCTTCTTTGTTTCAGATCATTCATTTGGCCCCCCGACACACCCTGGGCTATCCTGGTGTCCTGAGTGCATCACAGGCCACCGCAGAGCTTTCCAGAGGGCCCCCGCCCAGCGCCCCTTCTCCCAAAAGACTCCGACTCCGAAAGCTGGGGTGGGGCTCCGGGCAGCTGCATTTTAAGCAAAATGTTTCTAATGCATCATTTATTTAGGAGGGGGGAAAAAAAAAGACGGGAAGCAAAATGACTGTTGGCTAGCCAACTTGGCCCAGGGTAGGAATCCCCTTGATGCTTGTACAGAGCGAAGATCTCTTCCCCCGACACCCCGTCTCCAGGAAAAGCGGGTCGGGGTAAGCAGCGTTTTGAGCTAACACTCTAGGGTTTTGGTTTTTCTATTTTTTTTCCCCCTCCAATGAGTCATATTGGGCATCTTAAAAGTTTAAATACTGTAACAAGCATCAGCGGAAGAAATAGAACACTACGAATACATAATTGAAACCCCTCTCGTAGCCTCCCCAGTTTCCTCTCCGCCACCCCAAAGGAACCCGTTTCCTGAATGCGGCGCCGCACCGCCGTGCACAGCTTTATACTGTTACTCCATATGTCTGTATCCATAAACAATATATAGTGCGGTTTCGCGTGTTTTAAAAACTTTATGTTAATGGCAGCGTGCCCTACAGAGCCTTCTGCGACTTGCTCCCCCCCCCACCTCCCTTCCTTCTCTTTTTCTTAGCATTATGTTTTTGAGAGTCCTCCATCAGGGGAAGTTTGCTGCGCTTAGGCCTGTTTGGCTAATCTGAAGCCGTTTCTGGGTTTTTCCGAGGGGAGCCCGGGTCCGTCCGCAGGGGTGAGGGTCAGAGCTGGGCTCCTGGCTGTCTGGTGTGATGCAGAAGAGCTCTGGGCATCAGACGCTTCAGGACAGTAATGAATGTCCAAGTGCAGGTTCAGTGAGTTTCTGCTAAATCCTCTTCCTTAGCACCTGAGGCCCAAGTCTTAGCCAGGAGTTTTCCAGAATATTCCACTGGCCCGAAAGCCTGGATATTTGGGCCGCGATGTAGAGCAATTAGCAATGGACAGCTGTGGAAGGGGGAAGATGGATTACCCAAAAGACACACCAAGCATGTGCTCATGCCCCCTACCTAAGCTTGTCGGATAAAATACAAATTCAGATTTAACAGGATGGGGATAAGGGGAGTCCTGTATACTTATTTCTAGCTCTAAGCCGAGCCCGATTTTAAAAAAACCAATGTAACACTTTAAAAAATAATCATAGGAAAAATTAGACTGCTAGACCTCCAGATACCTCATTACATTTTTTAAAAACTTGACTCACTAGCAGGTCTGTCTAGTCAAAGCTATGGTTTTCCCAGTAGTCATGTATGGATGTGAGAGTTGGACCATGAAGAAAGGTGAGCGCGGAAGAATTGATGCTTTTGAACTGTGGTGTTGGAGAAGACTCTTGAAGAGTCCCTTGGACTGCAAGGAGATCCAACCAGTCCATCCTAAAGGAGATCAGTCCTGGGTGTTCATTGGAAGGGCTGATGTTGAAGCTGAAATTCCAATACTTTGGCCACCTGATGCAAAGAGCTGACTCATTGGAAAAGACCCTGATGCTGGGAAAGATTGAAGGCGGGAGGAGAAGGGGAGGACAGTGGATGAGATGGTTGGATGGCATCACTGACTCATTGGACATGAGTTTGAGTAAACTCCGGGAGTTGGTGACGGACAGCGAGGCCTGGTGTGCTGCAGTCCACGGGGTTGGAGTCGGACACGACTGAGCGACTGAAGAAGGATAGCATTGCTTTGGACCCTGCCCTCTTCAGCTAAACTCTAAGGAGTTTAGACTAGCCTCTTAGGGGTGGGGGTCAAATTTAGTGCGCTTAAGGAGTCCCTGTGGAGTTTATTTTAAAATCTGTCCCCGAGAAGAATAGGATCGCTACATCCAGCTTCCCTGTTAGGACTGTCAGCCAGGAGCAAACAAGCTGCAGTCCTAGGAGAGGCCTGGTGGGCGGGGTGATGGGGGAGGGGTGTTCTTTAAATGAAAGGCTCCTCTAAGTTAGCTGTTCTCTATACTGAATGCACGCTGGAACCACCCGGAGAGCTTTACAAACTACTGATGCCCAAGCGCCACCTCCAGAGATTCTGGCTGAATAGGCCTGGGGCGAGGTCTGACTTACGGGCTTTTAGAAACTCCCCAGTTCAGTTCAGTCGCTCAGTCGTGTCTGACTCTCTGCGACCCCATGGACTGCAGCACGCCAGGCTACCCTGTCCATCACCAACTCCCAGAGCTCGATCAAACTCGTGTCCATGGAATCGGTGATGCCCTCCAGCCGTCTCATCATCTGATGTCCCCTCCTCCTTCCTTCAACAAACTCCCCGGGCCACTCTAAAGTGCTGTGGGAGCTGGGACCCGCTGCTCCACCGGATTTCAGTGCAACGGGGTAGTCTGCAAGCCACGCTTCTCAAACTCAGCGGTGTGTTAGACTCACCTGGCGAGCATCAAATCGTGCAGATGCCCAGGTTCCAACCCTAGAGACTGTGTGTGGCCTGGACTTGGGGCGTTTTAAAGGATCCCTCGGTGATCGCCATCTGAAGGCGGGTTTGAGACCAGGTGGTGCGGGGGCCGGGCGCAGGGAGCGCGGCGCACCACTGGGCGGCGCTGCCCACTCACGTCGGGCTACCGGGCAGCCTCCGCCGGCCGGACCCTGCCGTGCTCGTGATGCTGCTTCTGGACGCCGATCGGCCGGAGCCCGTGCGCGGCGGGGCGCGCGAGCTCGCGGTCTTCCTGACCCCCGAGCCTGGGGCCGAGGTAGGGGACGCGGCTGGAAGTGGGGGAGGCGGGTCTCGGGGTTGCGGGGTCCAGGACTCGCGCGCCCCAGGGGCGAGTGGACGAATGGGGGTGGGGGACCCCTGAGCGCTGGGCCCGGACCCTCGGCTTCCCCGAAGCTTTCTCTCGTACCTGGCGCTGGGGCTCCGGGGACGCACGGGCGGCCCCGGGGCTCTTCTCGGCGGCACGGTGGCTTCCCAGGGTCACCCAGTGATGCGCGTCAGGTCGCTCCCGCTCCGTCCTCCAGCCAACACGGCTCTCGGGGGCTCAGACTCGCCTCCCATCCTTACCTGATCACCCCCTCTTTCCGACCCCCCATCGCCGGCATCCGCCGGGATGCCAGAGGGAGGCGCGCTCAGAGCTGATGCCCTTGGCAAACCCGGGCCCTCGGGGAGGCCGAGCCCGGGTCCCGCCTCTGCCCGCGCGTTCGGCCTGCCCGGCTCTGAGCTGACGCCAGTTTCCCGCAGGAGGCAGACAGGCTGCGTCTGTGAGGATGCACCCGGCCTCGGTTCGCTTCTGTTGCTAGGAGGGAAAATTCCTCATCTCTGGCTGTTCTTGCTGTTTTAAAAGCACAGAATAAAAAGTAGATCTAACGCTGGATTCTTTATCTTCCAGCTGAAGCCAGTATGTTGACAGTGCCGTGAAAAAGTTATTTACCCAAGTTCACCCGGAGTTATTTAGGGCCAGAAAGTCAACCCATTCTCTTTTAAAATCTCAGAAGTGGTACACAAGTATTTAAAATAAAGAGGAAACAACTTCTTTCTCTCTCACCCCAGTTCTGGTTCCCAGAGATAACCATCTCCCACAGTTTGGTGTACATCATGCCAAGCATATTAAAAATGCATTTACAAATGTAGGTGGGGATGTATACTAATAATTATACATAATTAGTTTTTACAAAAAACCCGCTTGATAGCAGAATACTTTTCTGCAACTTGCTTTTCGTTATTCAAAATAGCATGGACAAGTAGAAAGTGATTTAATGGTAAGGCAAAAGGCTTCTTTCAGGGTGATGAGAATATTCTGGAATTACTGCTAATGGTTGCACAACTTTGTGAATTCAGTGAAAACCACAGAATTGTATACTTTAAAAGGTTAAATTTTATGGCATATGAATTCTATCTCAATTTAAAAAATAATATGGACATATTTCCATGTCAGAATGTAAGAACTGTCCAATAGAAATATAATTTGAGCCAAATATGAGCCAATAATTTTAATTTTTTTAACATTTAAAATATTCTAGGAGTCATATAAAAAGGGGAAAGAAACAGGTGAAATTGTCAATATATTTTTTTCCAGTTTTATTGAGATCTAATTGACATACAGTGCTATAAGATTAAGATGTACAAGTTTCAGTATACTTAACATACCTATCCAAAATGTCCTTTCAGCATGTCATCAATGTAAAAAGAATTCAATGAGATTTTTACATTCTCTTCTTTGGACAAAGTTTTCAAAACCAGGCTTAGAATATTAAGCTTACAACACACCTCGGTGTGGACCAGCCACATTTTAAGCATTTAGTAGTCGTGAGGGGCTTCCCTTGTGGCTCAGCTGGTAAAGAATCCACCTGAAATGCGGGAGACCTGGATTCGATCCCTGGGTTGGGAAGATCCCCTGGAGAAGGGAAAGGCTACCCACTCTAGTACTCTGGCCTGGAGAATTCCATGGACTATAATCCATGGTGTCGCAAAGAGTCGGACACGACTGAGCATCTTTCACTTTCAACAGTCATAAGAGGCTGGTGGCTTCCATGTTGGAGAGTGTAGGTCTTCATCATCCTTCAGCTTCCTAGTGTCCTGCCATTACATAATGTTGTTGTTCAATTGGCAAGTCATGTCCAACTCTTTGTGACCCCATAGACTGCAGCACCTCAGGCCTCCCTGTCCCTCACCATCTCCCAGAGTTTGCTCAAACTCGTGTCCGTTGAGTCAGTGATGCCATCCAACCATCCCATCCTCTGTTGCCCTCTTTTCTGTCTTTAGTTCTCCCGGCATCAGGGTGTTTTCCAGTGAGTTGACTGTTCGCATCAGGTGGCCATGGTATTGGAGCTTCAGCATCAGTCCTTCCAATTAGTATTCAGGGCTGATTTCCTTTAGGATTGACTGGTTTGATCTCCTTGCTGTCCAAGGGACTCTCAAGGCTTTTCTCCACATCACAGTTCGAAAACATCAGTTCTTTGGCGCTCAGCCTTCTTTACGGTCCCGCTCTCCCCTCCATACATGACTACCGTCACATAATAATCCCTCCTATTTTCTGAGCATATGCATGTGCCAGCAGCTTGCTGCACCCTGTTCATGGACTGTGCCATCGCATCCTGGCAGTGACCCCGTGGCTAGGATGTTGCTCTGTCAACTTCATATCTGTGAAACCTGAGGCCCTCACCAAATACGCAGTGTCCTGTGGATGTCCGGTAATTTCTGAACCACACCCCCAGGCGTGGGCATTTAGGCTGTGTACCTGCTTAAGGGTTTAAGTAACCTGAGTGTCTTTCTTCTTCTTTCTCTGCCTTACTCTCAGCAGCAAGATGTCATTGTGCCCAGGGGCTCAGCCTCATTTTGTCTGATTAGGGACAGCCTCCAGGAGAAGCTGCATGCATTCATTTCATTCGCTCACTCGGGGCTCTCTCTAACTCAGACGCGAGCTGGATCATGCTCATTTGTAAGGGCTGTAATGAAGAGCCGAACTCCCCGTAGCTCCATGCGGCAATAAAGGCACTTCGAGCTCTTGCTGAAATTTATTTACCAAAAGAAGCAAAAACTGCCCGGGTGGAGTCACTTGCAGCATCTACTTAAAGCTTAATTCATTAGCAGTTCCCCGTGCTGCAGCTGTTTGCAGAGATGGGCAAATGAGCTGGAAAAGGGAAGCCTGGTTTGGGATCAGGCCTGGGTGCCTGGAGCCTCCTGAGCAGCCCACGTCCTCAGGCCACTTTGGGCTTTTAAATGGCGTGGTTGGAGTCCCAGGCTCTAGTCCTGGGGGTGTCCTGGAGTTCCTAGGGAGGTGGGTCCTCCAACACCTCGAACCCCTGCTGTGTGCTGGGAGTGAACCACACGAGGGTCCCCCGTGCTCATGGCCCCACTCTCAGACAGTAAACATGTAACACATCAAACCTCTGCGCTGTGATGAATGCCGTGGAGAACGCAGCATGGGTGATGTGGTAGAGAGTGTGTGGGAGACTTGGGTGGCGATGGCCTCTCCAAACCCCTGAGGAATGTGCAGGGAAGAGGGAGCGCAGAGGTCAAGAGGCCGAGTAGCAGGGGACCCCCACTGTGTCTGGGAGTGGTCAGGGAGGGCTTCCCTGAGACGACATCAGTTTAGGCTGAGCTCTGAAGCATGAATAGGAGTTGGCCGGGCTGAGAGAGAGGAGAAAAATGTCCCCGGCAGAGGAGACAGAACTTGCAAAGGCCCTGGGGTGGGATGAAGCAGGGCCATCGTGAGGGGAGAAGAGCAGCAGGTGGAAGGGCGGGCAGTGAGGGCAGGGTGGAGCCAGTGAGAGGACCAGAAAGAGGACTTTGCACTGCCTCCCTGGATGGAGGAGCCACTGAAGGGCTGCCTGTTGACCAGTTGACTGGGGAGCGTTTCACTCTTTCTAGAGCCTTTGGGTTTTTCTGTCTAACCAACTTTTTTGTGCTTTACTTTCTCTCTCTTTCTGATTTGAACTTCCTCTTTTGGGGGAACTTTCAGGCAGGGTCTCCAGAAGCTGCTTCAAGATGGCAGGGAGAGAAAAGATGTTTGCCTCTTGGGGGCCCTCCTGGATGGCTGAGTCCTGATACCCACCCAGGGCGGAGTTCCTGACAAGACTCAGCGTTCCATTTGGTTCCTGTGCTGGGATGCAGGACAGGTTTGGCCCACAGATGGGGTTCATGGCCTGCCTGGAAGGAAGTAAAGGACTTCACTTGCTCACACTTGCTCTGCCTGAGTGAGCAGAGATGAGAGGGGAGAGTTAACCCGTGGATGAGGTCCCCGGCTGCAAACTGGTGGCCCAGGGGCTGAATCCAGAACTCCGATATGATTGGTTCACTTCACGTAGGGGTTCTTTTTTGTTGCTGTTGTTTAATTCTTTTTTCACATAGGGGTTCTTAAATGGAGAATTTTCATGAAAAAAAAAAAAATCTGAGTTTCTTGTTTGTTTAAAATAATGGACAGTCTGGAAATCCACAGTCCCTGTTTCCTAGTCATGGTCGCCTGTGAGCCACAGTCCTCACCCCTTCTTACTGTCTCCCTCTAGTGAAGCTGGTATCAGTTACCACTTACCTTTGCGCTTGAACCTGTGACGTTTCTAGTCATGATGAGAGGAGAGGAAACTGTTTCTCCAAGCCAGGAGTCTGGACTGAATAGGAAGACATGAGTTAGACCCAAATGCCCCTGGGTCTCAAGACAAAATGTAGAAGAGACCATTTCTTTGTGGAAGCAAAGACTATTTATTGTGTCCAACCTGCAGACACCATGTGCCTCTGGGAACCCTGGCACGTGTCTTATTCTTTTGACCTACTGGTCCCCTTTCTGCTTTCAAATTTTGGATGTTCAGATTAGAACTCTGTGGGTGGGTTCTAGGGCACAGTCTACTGTGTCTCGAGATATAGTCCTGGGTTAGTTTATTCCTCTGATCCTTATGGTGGACTTGCTGTGGGCCAGACAGTGTGCCAAGCACAGGGGAGAGGCCAGCAAGGTAGGTGCAGTGCCTGCTGTCAAGCACAGGAGCCGGCTAGGAACGATCCTACAGTTAGCGAACGGTGGTATCTGCCCCAGAGGAGACACCTGGGGGCTGTGACGGAGACACACAGGGAGGACTGGAAGGACCATCAGGCAGAGATCTGGCATCGTGTGCTAGAAGCAAGGAAAGAGGATGACCCAGGAGGTGCCCGAGTGGGTGGACCTCAGTGATCAAGGAGAGAGTGGACAGGGCCAGACCAGGGCCTGGAGTCAAAGGGAGGAGCCTGGAATTCGATTCTAGGGGGTCATGGGTGGAAGCTGTGAGC